CTATTCACAGTTTTAATGTAAATGAAATATGAAAACTTTTAGATAAAGAAAAGTATTTTTATACTTAAAATGAAAACCACCTTACACTCGAACTATTCACAGTTTTAATGTAAATGAAATATGAAAACTTTTAGATAAAGAAAAGTATTTTTATACTTAAAATGAAAACCACCTTACACTCGAACTATTCACAGTTTTTGTTCACATAACTACTATGGATAAAAACGTTTTTTGAAAGACGTAATTAGAATAACATCATTCTTTGTGTACAAGATACTTATAAACTTCAACAAAATCTTACCAGTTTTTGTTAGAAACACACAGAGTTATCATATTTTTGTTGCCTAAACGCCCTTCCCTAGTCGAGCAGATGGCAATCGCATCTGCCAGTGCTGGAAGGGTTAATACAGGATAATTAATTGAGGTTGTAAGACTTAAAATGTGTTATTTTTTAGCAAATGATAAAAAAAAACACTACTTACTTAAACCTGATAAAATGTGGTACTTAAGCATGTTTGTTCCACGTGATTTGTAAACCCGTTCATTCAGAAACAGAAATAGTCAAGGTATATCTAAGAGTAAGCACAAAGTGTTGAACTATAGAAACCAAAAAGTGTGGTGATGAAATTGCAGAAAATTTTATTTATAAACCTTTTATAGTGTTGAATATGCAAACTGATTTTAATATGTGTAAATAATTTTCCATGCTTCGACATGCTGTTAAAAGATGTAGTTTTTTTATATACCAAATGTTTGCTAGATTGTATTAAATGAACTTAAAAAAATAGAAAAGAAATTTCAGAACATCAAGTGCTTTCTCTTTGTATTGTAGACCAATATTTCCTTTATCAATGAACGTTGCCGGTAGCCAGTAGTGCATGCCAGCAGTCCTAACTTACTTATCTGTTGACTGCACCTTAACAGAAACAAAGGTCATTCACTGTGATGAAATGCAAGAATAATAATAATGTTTTACTCTCACTAGCCTATTTATATATTCATGTAAATTTTTTGTGTAATAATAATAATAGTTTTGTTGTCACTAGCCTATTTTTTATGTAATGATAATAGTTTTACTGTCACTAGCCTATTTATATATTCATGTAAATTTTTTATGTAATAATAATAATAGTTTTGTTGTCACTAGCCTATTTAAATATCCATGTAATTTTTTATGTAATAGTTTTACCGTCACTAGCATATTTAAGTATTCATGTAAATTTTTTGTGTAATAATAGTAATAATGTTTTACTGTCACTAGCCTATTTAATTATTCGTATAATTTTTAATGTAATAATAGTAATAATGTTTTACTGTCACTAGCCTATTTAATTATTCGTGTAATTTTTTATGTAATAATTTTACTGTCACTAGCATATTTAAATATTCATATAAATTTTTATGTAATAATTTTACTGTCACTAGCCTATTTAAATATTCATGTAACTTTTTTATGTAATAATAATACTTTTACTGTCACTAGCCTATTTAAATATTCATATAATTTTTTATGTAATAATGATAGTTTTACTGTCACTAGCCTATTTAAATATTCATGTAAATTGTTTATGTAATAATAATAATGTTTTACTGTCACTAGCCTATTTAAATATTCATGTAACTTTTTTATGTAATAATAATACTTTTACTGTCACTAGCCTATTTAAATATTCATATAACTTTTTATGTAATAATAATGTTTCACTGTCACTAGCCTATTTAAATATTCATGTAACTGTTTTATGTAATAATAATAATAATGTTGTCACTAGCCTATTTAAATATTGATGTAACTTTTTTATGTAATAATAGTAATGTTTACTGTCACTAGCCTATTTAATTATTCATATTATTTTTAATGTAATAATAATAGTTTTACTGTCACTAGCCTATTTAAATATTGATGTAACTTTTTTATGTAATAATAGTAATGTTTACTGTCACTAGCCTATTTAATTATTGATGTAACTTTTTTATGTAATAATAGTAATGTTTACTGTCA